ACTTGAGCAACTTCTCTTGTTCAGCACAGGTCAGATCCTTGGGTATTCCTATGACATCAACATTAGGGGTTCCTGGTCCATGTGGGTCCTAATGCCCCAGCATAGTAACGGGGACACTATACCGTAAACAGACCGTCCTTCGGATGAGACATAAACCGAGGTCCTGACTCTCTGTGGTCATTAAAAATCCCAGGGCATTTCTCGAAAAGAGTAGGGGTGTAATCCCGGCGTCCTGGCCAAATTTCCCAATGGCCTTTACCAATCATGGCATCCTAATAATCCTTATCTATGAATTGGCTTCATTACTCTGCTCTCCTCCCCAGCGTTCTGGCGCACTATGGCTGCCGTCCCATCATCCAGGTGGATGCTGCACATTGGTGGTGGTGGAGGGGAGTCCCAATTATCTGTAAAGCGCTTTGAGTGGAGTGTCCAGAAAAGCGCTATATACAGTAAGTGTAAGCAATTACTAATTACAATTACATTCTCCTATCTCCCTATTTGCTATTGATAACTTTTAATACAATTGGTCACTTAGGTTCATAGTACGCATTCCTATAAAATGGTATAGAATTACATCGTAGATCTTGTGTCCACTCAAGTATTAGCGCACTGTATTGTCGTAAGTAGGCTGCATATTTGACATACTGTATAAACTAATTTTATTAAAATAGAAAATATGAAAACCCATCCCCATTTTTCAGTGCACACAACAAATTTCCAGGGTCATCTGGCATACCACCTGGGGGAGCTCCACGTACCATAGCTTTAGAACGACGACCTTAAGCCAATTTATTAATTTACATTCCACAGCAAACTTTTTTTGTATTTCTTTCTTTCCTTTTTACGTTTTTTGTCCAATATAAATGTGTAAATAAATCAGACCAAAGAAAACTGTGCATTAGTTAGGATTTTAATTTACTCTGTAATTTTATGTATTCTAATTTCCACAATGAAAACACATACAGTACATGCATGTTTTGGTGAAAGAACCAAAACAAATAAACAAAGCACAAAGATCTTTGCAGCAACTCCTGTGGAAAGTTTTTTTTAAGGAAGTGGAACGCCTGCAGAGTTCGGCAGAAGACAACAGTTTCCTTCTGGCCTATATTTGGCCTTGGGAACTGGAAAATCAACAGTCACCGTATACGGTAAAGGAGCAAGGAGAAAATATGGAATGCTGGAAATACAGAATAATACATTTCTTTTCAACTCTTCCCTGTCTTTCATCAGTCTGAACTAGTAAGAAGATAAGATCACGCATACAGCAAGTCAAATTATCATTCAGGCACACACTAATCAATCTTCCAACATCTTCTATGAATACTTTAGGTGATCAATGATAAAATACAGCATCAGCTAAATTAATTTATATTATGAGCAGAGGATGTTTCCTATATAATATGCAAATACTTTCATTGAACTTAGTGACATCATGAGAAATGTAAGCACACATTTTTAGTTGTGCATTCCATATCTCTCCTATACCTAAAGTTCATTAACATCCATAAAGGATCCACTAAGGCAAATCAATTGACAGGTGACATAAGCTTGAAACACACCAAGATTACCACTGTCACATTCTTAGCAACAAAATGGTGAGCTCAGGCATTGGTACTCTGAAATGTTTCACATACATTCATGGTACTACCACCTTGAATGCATCAGTGTGGTTTGCTATATGTGTTATCAATAACAAACCAGTGGAAATATCAATAGGCAAGATAGTGGAGATTGTGCAAAGCTCATGGCCTATATGGATTGATGTCTGCCACTGCAGGACGCACACAAGTTCCCACACCAATATAACAGCTACTAAACTGACAAATGAAACACAAAATCACACAGCTGTTGTGATACTGTTGTAAGAAGACAATAGAGGAATGTCTTAAAGATGCAGGGATAAGGTCAAAGACTCCAGTTAATATTAACATTACATTTTACACTAAATGTCATGGACAGGAAATGGTCAATTAGGAACTGCAATACTTGTGTGCCCAAAGGCTCACAATCCTAGGTCGCTACAGTAACCAGCCACATTTCCATGCAGTCTGAATCGTCCACCAGGTCTGTTATGGGTGTTTATCAGTACTCTCTGCCCCTAATTAATAGGCACCTACCTCATTACTCTGGGTATTTAAGCCCTGCCTGCTCTCTACACTGACACTCTGTCACTGGTTTCCTTCCCTGGAGACAAATGCCTTCGTTATTCCTTTCTTGCTAAATCATATTCGGACTCTGACTCACTTCCTCGTTTACTCTCCCTTGATCACACAGATTTTTCTTTCTTGTTTTTACCTGGATTTAGACTTCGTCCAAAACACAAAATTCCTTAACCATTATTGTGAGACATTTTGTAGATTCCATTGATCCACACTTCGTTGTGATGGATGATTCTGTTCTAAATTCACTGTGCATGACCTGTGAGCCTGTACCTGGAAAGGCCTAATATTTGCATGATGGACTTGTCTGTGAGATCCTAGACATGCCAAAGTTTGCATTTTTAGTTCACGTAATTCAGCCAAGGACCCTATAACTGTTTCATATTGCTCTAGGTAGTGAACAGTGATGTATCCCTCAGCATGGACTACAGCACTTCAAAAGCTATATAAAAAGACAGTACAAGAGTTTTGTTGACACTAGGAGTTACCAGACCAAATATTATTCATTGTATATCTAGAATTTCACATACACATACTGTGACACTGTATGACCATGTCATCTGTCACATATTCTCCTATTTCACCTCACAGTGGTTTGATCAGAAGAAAAGTAATGGTTGTCTGAGAATAGAAGATATCATCTGAACAAAAAAAGCTTTCCATAAAACAGTCCTATGGTTGGATTAACATGCTTTAAATAAAACATCTCTGGAGTTCTTAATATGGCCACGTTTTACAGAAGGGTGTAACTTTAATTGAGCTGAAGTTCTGTTAGATCAGCAGTTTTGCGATTTCTGTAAAGACAGCAGTAACACATACTGTAAATTATGTTTCTAATTTGCTTTTTGAGATAGGAAGTAACTTAATGCCCTAGTCAATACAAAGATTACATCAGCCTAAGAACACAAACAGTGCAGACTAATACATGGTTACTTGAAGAAAACCAAAAGAACTGCACTATACCCAGAAGTGGTTGTAAAAAACGAATAAGAAACCACAACATCCGAAACTTCACAGTAAAGGTCTCAGATTTGGAGATTTTGTTTTTAAAATATTTCACTCATGACTGATTACTTACTGATAGTTAATGGTTGTTATCCAATAGAAAGAAACCATTAATACTGCACACATTACCTTATGGATTGTGTATAAAGCTTTACATTTACTGTATTAATAAATATTTAATCAATAACAATTGTGGTTATTGAAACCTAAGATCATTGCATCACTGTGTCTTTCCATACTTTAAGGTTTGATTGTCCTGATATTGCACTTCAAGATCATGTATAAAGAGCAGTGTTCATGTGAAATAGTTTTGCAGCCCAGTATTATTTTGAAATCCAAAGTTAAAAAAATATATAGCAATTGACACCAGCAGTTTGCTTAGTGCCTTGTGCTGGTCACAGGGATTACATCATCCAACAATTAAACATGCCAAACATGCTTCCATCTACTTGTCAAAAACAAGGAAACAAAGCAGTTTCTTAGAAATCGAATTTCTTTATACTGTAATTATAAAGTACAGGTTTCAGCTTGTTCCCTAAAGTTCATACCAGTAATAAAAAGGAAACCAAAAAAGCAGGTGTGTATGAAAAGAAAACTATGAACCACGTATTATATTAATTGTATTTTAATTTTTATTAATGCTAAAAATTCCAGGTATGACGGAAGACCTTTCGATACTACTACTGCTTTACAATTTACTATGTCAGTGGCAAGTCAGACGAGACTAAGCATTATACATATATATAATTACAAATCTCCTTGTGCATATACTGTATGTAGTAGTTTTCGTCTAACGGTCTGAAGATACCTTAGCGACCGAAAAATCTATCCGGGTGGCCAAAAAAAGAAACCATAGAGACATTTTTCACTGGTACAAATATCCACGCTCTGGAGCAGCAGTAGGCTTTTTAGTAAACGATTATGACAAACATTACCGTGGATCTTTTGATTTGCAGATCTTTTTATCGTCGTACTTAATTATTTAGTGACCACGTTGTTTTCTTTTCTTAAGAAATACAAAAATAATAATAACCACATCTAGCATAGTTAATTATTTGGTTTGAATTGCGGCGACTGCAGAAAAAAATAATGCTCCATTTCTAGACAATTTTGGTCACTGAAAACCTTATCCAAAGATAAAGGATTTAAGCAGAAAAAACAAAGTGGGCTGAGCTCACAGATCTCAGAATAGCCTAAAGGGATCCACTGTTTAGACGGTCAATAATAAACAACCTCGCAGGACATGGATGTGATTTGTTGAAAAGACTTCTTTAAAGAAAACGTTATCTTAAGCGAGAAAGTAAACAAGCGCTTAGTCATCAAGCTGTCTCACTCATTAAGAAAAAGCCCTTAAGCGTGATATGTCCTTGCACTTTTACAGAGATTTAAAGCATTTTGAAAAACGCTATTCACGATACGGAACGAATGTAGTGAGTTTGTGGCAGAGATAAAATAAAGATGAAGTAGAAAGGATTTTTTTTTACATTTTTTAAAATGTTCAAACGAATCGGTCCTTTAGGCGTCTTTACAACGGAATGTGAATGTTTTCACGTGTTGAAAAAAAGAGCGGTGTTTTATGATATGTGTAATATTTTTGATTAGGTAAGTGACAGTACATCATATTACTATACCAGCCTTTCCAAATCCGTGCACCCACCCCCCAAAAAAGTTTTCTTTCTTAGTTTCCATTTTTAAGGTTTTTTTTTCTTCTTTGCAGCAAGAAATGTGTTTGCAATTAGAGACCCGAGAGACAAGGAGTGTGAGTGTGCGCTGCTGGCGGCTGATTTGAGCGAAGTTGGTGACGTCACTCACAGACAGCCTTCTGAGCAGAGCGAGTGGCACACAGGTTCAGTATGCGAGTGGAGTTCTACAGGCTGGAAAGGGGATAGTGGTTAAATCACTTAGCATTAGTTATTCTACATGCGCTGCCTCCTCCGTCTTCTGTTCTATGGAAATACGATGATCACACTAGATATCATTAGCCTTGACTGGAAAAAAACTATCCGTTACAGTTTGGGAGAATTTTAAAGAGGCGAAACGTCTGCAAAAGTGTTCTTCTTACTCTTCAGTTTTTGGAGTACAGTCTCAGGAGGAGATTTTGGCTTCTATTCCCAGAAGGTAAGCAAAGTCCAAACACCTCTTAAGGTGTTTTTGTGTTGTTGTTGTTGTTGTTGTTGTTGTTGTTTTCCTATATTTTGGCACAGTGACAATAAACAGCATCTCGAGTTTTGAGTTTGCTCAAGTATTTTTTCTAGACCTTTATCTTATAAGTATTATTACTGTAGTTATTGTTATATCACCTGTGCGTCTCGAAGTTCAATTACAAGCGACGTGAGTAGTGTCTTTCTTTAAGTTATGTATATAGGGAAAAACTTTAAATAAAGATGGTAGTCGTTTAAGTTGGAACTAAAAGGAGACCGACTTTCTTAACTTACGCATTTTAAAACTACCATACGATATGAAATAAAATTGATTCTGCAATCAATTACAGTACTCTGCAAGGCAAGTATTTGCTCAGACCTTTTTCAACTTCCACGTTATACCTTATGGATATATTAACTACGTTCATCCCATACTGTGCATTGCACTCAATAGTGTGTCGAACTGGTAAAAATATTGATCAATGTAAAACTGAGAATCGTGAATGGAGTAGTTTTGTGATTGTGGTGGTGTGGGGGACATTTAGCAGTAATGATAAACTACAGAAGGAAGGAGTGTTTAATAAGAAAATACTTGCAAGGAATTGCACACTGTGCAGATTTACAGTTGTGATTAGAGTAGGATTTCACAGTTCAAGAAAAGAGAAAGGAGCGTTTTCTTCGCCATAGCTGCTCTCTGTAAGAATTTACAATTTCTTGTAGTAAACATTGTATTTAAAGGTACATTTTCTACAAATGCATGTTGTAATTTACTCAGGTATTGTATATTTACTTTGAGTGTTTATGACTTATGTTTCTTGCATTGGAATGGAAGTAGCAAAAAAATAAGGCGCATTGTTAATATAAACTTAATTTGAATATACGTCATATGTTTAAGATAAAGTAAAGGCAATATATTGTGTTTTTTATTTACTGTAAAATGCACATACGGAAGACTACATGTTTAATTATATTTTTAGCAGGCTAATACGAATGGATTTAAATACCTCAGAATGCATGCGGATTAGAGGTTAGTACAGTACTTGATTGCAGCTCATTGACTGCCAGAGAAAGATGTTTAAATTACTTTAAGTTTGCAAACTGTTATTTTGTATGAATGTGATGCTGTCATTTATTTTTGCGTTACACGTAGACAATAGGGGAGTTTTTTTTTCCAAATGTATTTATATTACGTACTTATACTGTTCTGATATGCAGTGTCTAACTTCGAATTCCTCACATTGAACGTTTGGTACTTCAGAGCGAGTACCGGGAGAAGCCACTGGGAGCGCATTTCCGTGTGAAATGTAGGCAAGGGTGTCAAACAACAGGCGCTATTTATTTGAAAAGTGAATACAATGTAACGGAGCCGCCCAGTTTCTACTTCACAGAACAGCTAGATTAAGGTGATGCTTGGATTTGCCCTTGCCTCGCCTATCAAAGACTTTCATTGATTTTTTACGAATTCCACGTTGTGTTTTGAGGTCTTGGTTTATACAAGCAGTTCCAGATGAAAGTTCGTGGCGTTTTTAGGATCTGTCTGGATTTGCGTTATATGTTAAAATAGTTACACTGTGTCACGGTGGCTTGATTAATGACAACTCGATCAACTGCTGATGAAAGCTGATAAGACTATTGACAAAAAAGAAACCTTAACACATCGATAGCATTCAGAGAAGTGTGCGGATTCCTGACATGAGCTAATGTATAGTCCTATTAAATGTATATAATGATCAGACGGAAACTTTAGGTTATATGTTGAGAATTGTTTAGCCCTACTAAATGTATGTTGTAAAAAATAAGCATAGTACATTTATAATGTGTACAAAACGAATGTGTGGTGTTTTTCTTTTGGCTGAAACAGAATCCAGTACAGACTCTTAACTTTACAGGTGGGTGTAAAAACGTGGGAGATGCTAGTTTTAATTCAGACATGTAAATAAGCATTTTTAGTGGTTTTAGTTTTAGTGTGGTTTTAGTTTAGCCTGAATTTTGAGACTGGGGTGTGCATGTAAATCACTGCACTTTGCCATAAATGTGGGCTCTGCTTTAGAAACATGTTGACCTTCATTCTGGAAAACACTTATTTTTCAGACTTTACTGAATCATTCAACATTGTAATTATACAGGGAGTCAGTTGAAAAATAAAAGTGCTTGTTCTGTAGTTCTATTTTTTATCTATTGAGCACAAGAAGAATGGTCTTCTGTTAAGATATTGTTGTGACATGGCGAGATAATACAGACCATTTATTTTTTCTCCTAAATGTGAAAAGAGTGGAATGTATTTTATGGACTGGAAAGTAATGCTTGATGTGACTTATACCTGCCTCAAAACCTACCCTTTATAAGCTTTTATTATTATTTTATTTTATCTTTTTCTAATAAGTTTAGGAGAAAATTTACAACAGATTTGCAAACACTTGACCCCTCAGATCTGCACATTGTAGCTGAACAACCTGAATTACAAAATGTTTTATATCCAAATAAAGCTGGTAGGTTACAGATGTATTATACCAAAGGCAACTGTTGTAGTTTCACATTTGCAAATGGATGTATGTCCCTGATTTGTGTTAAAATGAAGGCATTGGAATAGATGCCCTTTATGTGCAATATTAGATTAGAAAAAAAATGTTCCTGGTTTGATTTTTAGCATTTTTCTTTTGCTTGAATTTTGATTCTTTTTCAACTGACGTTTGCTTTGTTCTTTGGGTTTAACCCTTGAATTTTCATTTGCTGAGCTTAACCTTACAGTAGAAAGTCAATGTTGCAAAAATGTAATCAAGTATAATTGCAATAAATTCAGTTATTTTGCTTATTAGTTGTTTTTTGTACCACCATTATGTTGAACTGACATAACATGTAAATTCATTATGGTGATTAACATTTCTTATCAACTCTGTAGACCAACATGGAGTCTGCTATGAATGTTATGGGTTAGAAGCATGAGTGGCCGCCTCTGAAAGCAATGTGACCTGCACATCTGCTGCTCATGCTTTGCATGAACAACATACTTGCATAGTTGTTTGATTCTATCACATTGCTCTCATTGAATGCCAACAAGCATGTGTCTCCATCTCTGTCCACTACAGTAGATGCAGAATGTCAACCTGCTCACCCGACAAATGTTCAGTGAGACTCATATATGTCAAATAGGCTGTCCATGGTATGTAATACTGTGCTCACAAGAAGGCTGTTTGTGTGTGAGTAGCACGAAGATGTGCATTGTGTTGCTGAATTGTCATGTCAGGATTAGCTCGCAAGATGGGCAATAAGTGGTGCTTAAGGGCTTGATTAATAAGGCACTGTGCAGTCAGGTTGTCATCATTCACTACAAGTTGAGTTCTTAAGTGATAAGACACTTTGTCCAAGATAAATCACAGTGAAGCCTATTCAGTGTTGCACTTAAGCAGAATCAGACTGAATGCCTATTGATAATGGCAAGGTATCGTGACAGATGGCTCCTAGATCGCGGTCTATGATTGATGCACTGTGTTTAGCTGGAACGTCTTGCCTGGTTAGGAACATGCTGGCTGTGAACACCCCAGATGCAATGCTCAAACCTAGTCCAGCCTCCAACATATTGATTGCACAGTATTGTTGTTCATTTGATAAGCAGGGCATATTGGAATCTTTCTATGTTTTTCCTTCTTGATGTGTATCAGGCTTGACATTCAACAGGATAAATAACCTCATCACCTGTACTTAATCAGCTCATGCTAATGAGGTACTGTAGGTCAGTGAATATTCCAGTCAAAGTCACATGAGTAATATTATTATCAGCCATGAATGATCAATTAATCTAAATTACTCCAAAACATGTAAACCAGTATACTCTCTCTTTCTAAAAACATATATACATAAGTAGTGGTAGCACCATTATCACAAAACCGCCAGCATACCCTGTACTGTACCATGAAGGTGAGTTGTGCTAAATATGTCTGTTCAATACATAACAATGTAGTTTCTATATTTTCCTTTTAAAATGGTGTTCTACATCTTCTGTATTTGCATAAGGAAAATATCCTCTTATAATTATTTTGTTCCTCTTTCTGTGACATATAAAAACAGGCTTTGAAATTTAAAATGCTTGTGATACAAAGCTTTAGTTGATTAAGAAAATGTGAATGAACCTGACATTTACAGTTTGTGCCAACTAACTGAAGCAACATAAATATTTTATGAGCAGTTAGAGAAGTTATTATTAAATGGTTTCTTTCATATCCAATTTCGTTTTACATTCTGTAGATCCATTTATGATTTGCAAAAATGTGAAAAGTGTAAAAAAAGGTGTGACAAGAAACACATTTTGTTTTCTGATGTCAAATGTCTAAAATGTGGAGAATTTCCTGTTTCACGCAGCAAATATAATACTGGCATAGAGGAAGCATGACTACATGTAAGACTATGTGAAATATACAGAATATATGAAAGTTAAAACAAGGGGAAGTCCTATGGTCTCATTTGGTTTCTAGTAGTTGACAGATCTTAGGATCTTATTTAAGTATAAACCCGTTAGGTCTTTCAGTACAATTAGGCCACCGTTGCAATTTACATAATGACTCTCAAGAATGCAGGCTTAAACTGCTTGTAAAAACCTAAAGGAAAGCTTGTTTATTTATGAAATGCAGGGTTTAAAACCAACAAGTGCTGAAAAAAGGTTTGGGTGTTTTCTTCACTAGGGTATGGACTGCATTTATGTTTAGAAGATTATTATCAGTTGCTTGAATAAGTGCTTCAGTTATTGTTTGAACATATTTTGTGAAAATATTTTTTGAATGATTTCTCAAAAGCTTTTTTCCCCAAAATGAAGATTTAACATTTTTGCTGGGTCTATTTTATATGAATACTTTCTTTATAATTAGTTTATCTATATATTTGGTTTAGGTAAAGAACTGCAATGCATTAATGCTGGTAGTACCTTCTCAGTCTCAGTTTTGGGATTTTTTCTGTAGGTGGTCCTGGGTTTTTGTAAATGCTTTA